TTTCCTGTTTCTTGTTTCTGTTTATTGATGTATTATTTCTGTTAGTTGTGATACTTAACAGTTTAACATTATCGCTTTTAAAACCTGATATGCTGCCCTAGCCAAAAATCAGGCATAAAAAGGCAAATAAATTCTAAGAGTTGTAGTTTGATTGGTGTACACAGAAGGGTGACTTCCATTCTCAGATCCTGCCTTAATTTCTGCATGTGATTGTTGTACTAAAGAACAGCAGATCCATCTTCCATCAAAGAACAACTGGTGCAATCAGAAGTGTATCATTCCCTCCCTCACATACCCACATTATGCAAGAAGGAGGAAGAGTAAGCCTTTAACAGAGCAAGGTTAGACAGACACTTCCTCTTGGTTCTGGTCATTTATCTGCAGCTAAACTTCTTTTGTGTTCCTAAAACAGCCTGTGTTGCCCATGCCTACACAGAAGCCCAGAAATAGTGCTTCTCTCAGTATACCTTGGCATTTCTTCTGGGCCTGAAAGCAGAAAGAAAATCCATCTGTTTAAATTACTGTTTGTCATTGTCCAGCTATTTTCAAATCCCTGGCCATCTCTACATGAAAATTTAATCCAGTTGTAGAGTGAAAACAAGAAACTTCAGATCCCATAAAAGTGAATTCTCCGAACAATATGTTATAAATGACGCTATGAAAACATCTTAATAATCTTTGTGGTGAATGTGTGGATTATGTAGATTTAAGGCAACTCAACTAATTTTACAATGACTTTTAAACTACTTTTAAGCATAATTAGTCTCACTGAATTAATCAAAAGTCTTAAATAGTTAATATAAACGCCTGGTCAAGATTCTTGATATACCATGTTTCAGTGGCCTACTCATCTTACATCTTGTGTGAGAAGGCTGACTTCCCATACAGGTCTTTCCGTCATGCAGAGCAGATGGTGCAGCACAGCTCAGATGCTGATGTGCCGCAGGAAGGCTGAGGGATGGAAACTCACTGGGGCTTGAGGAGCTATAACATTCCTCAACTTCCCACCTTTCTATGCCTCTCATATGCTCTGGCACTGCTTAAAGCTGCACACATGTTTCTGGTCACATGTCACTCAGTTAGGAGTCATGCAACTAAGCCAAGCACCTTCTGTTCAGATCATGGCCACTTCCATCCCCATAGATAGTGCCATTAGCCCTTGGCTTGGAAGGAGTGTTTGATGTCATTTGACTCAGTAGGGGCTTTTCCAGATGATTTAAGTCATGGTATTAACAAGCTGTGAAAGTAGTTTCAGGTAGCCCTTTTTAGCTGTGCGGGTGATAACTTCAAAGCACTGAAAGTAGGAGTGGACAGGGGGAAGTAAAGCCTTCCAAGATTCTAGCAGCATGGACAGGAATCCTCAGTATGGGAAGCCATGACCGTAAGAACATTCTAATGACTAACACGTCAATGATATCAGGGTATCTGTTGTGAAGCAAATGACTCAGACACAAAGTCAACTTCATACACAACAGTTGCAGTTACTGTGTATACTTTTAGCCTGCAGCAAAAAAAGTCAAATACATTTATTTAAGTGTCACTGCAAATGGCTTAAGTGAATATCTTTCTCCCACATTTACAAAGATTTGGATTGTGTTTACATTTACCACAGCTCAATGGACACATGATAGTATGAGGGGACAAAATTGTAAGTGTTTAATCTCTAAATCTACACTTCAGCAAATCTTCTGCACACACAGAAGACTAAGTGAGCCTAAGTGATGCACCTCAGTGTACAGTTAGATCACATCCTAATTTTCTGAATCTTCAAGTGCCCAGTAGCGTACAATAGCAGCCGTAAACTATAAGACCCTAGGCTCAGGAGGGGTACTCATCATATTTCCTAACTCATCAAATTTTTAAATTAATTTACTTTTATTGAGCATGAATTATAGCTTCTACATTCACAGAGTAGAATGTACCTCACAAATAATTAATTAAAGTAACTGTCATCCTGGAAGCATATTTTGCATGTGCAATTACTGTATTGACAGGTTTTTATAGGAGGATGCCATTTTAACAACAGCAAAACTTTGATGGATATACAACACCACAGTGTATATATCATGTCATGTCTTATAGGCAATTATTGTGTCCCTTTAGGACACTGAACACAAGACCCTAATACTGCTTAAAGTCATTATTGTTAGTGCTATTATATAGGGCTTAAAGATGTCTTTACATGATTAAGTTCTCCAGGTTTTAAAGTATTGTTTCTATAGCCAACTGTTTCAATACACTATTAGATACAAGCACTTCATTCTTCTCCTGTTTAATATTAACCATAATATCATGTAATAAAATTGAAACAAAAGTGCCATAGGCCTAATTGTACTGTCACAGCCATGTAAATCAGAAATAGCTTCAGTAAAGCTACTGTTATTATGCTGGTGTAAAATTGATATAAATTAGAAATGACTTGGACACTGTAGCTCTGCTTTCAGATAACACAATGTAAAGGCCTCACTTAAAGTCCCCTATAATGGCTTATGAATGCAATTCTCCTTACCTCATCATGTTAAAAGGCATTGTATCAGAAAAGACCAATATTTATAAGGGATGACTTAATCAGATAGATCAAGGTAAATTAATGTTATGGGGCCTGATTCTGAGCCGTATTGACTTCTATGAAGTTAATGCAGACCTACATAAATTTGGCTGTGATTGCTGTATAACTCACCATCATTTAAAAAAAAAAAGAATTGTTGTTATAAAATGTAAAATAAGAACCCTGACTGAAGATAGACTTTTTGGTCCAGTTTAGTTGGCTGGTGTTTTTCCTGATCTGACATTAAACTATGAACATCATCAGAAAGGAAATGTGCCAGACGTGGTAGTTACATCAAGAACTACGAAGGAAACTAGTAATGAACTCTAGGAAAATAAATAAGGGCAAGTTCAGGAAACGCAAGTGCAAATGCAGCTCTGGTATAAATTGAATAATAAAATTCCTGGTCATATTTTGCCATAAATAGTGGTTTGGGAATTTGTCATTCGCCTTATTTAAAATTCAGAAATATTAAAGGTACAGGGTTCTCTCATTACAGAAGTAATAGAATTCTAGCTATTATAGAGTTAGGGTAATTTAAATAGCTATAGAATGCATTATATCAGTAAGTGGAACATCTGTATGAAATGTCCACCTGCTACTGTACTACTCAGTGTACTTTACAATGAAATATACTTAATCATTTTAAGATGTCTTCTAATGAAGGCTTATCGGGAATAACATTTTGAACACAAATACTTTTAGGCATTAAAACTTTTTCTTTAAATGAGATTGCATTGCCTTGTTTACCCTTGTTGATTAATAAGCAATCTGTTAGGATGGCCCAGTTGTACTAGTGAAAGTGGATTAGTAATTCAGCTGTGTTTGTGAGTTTAATCATCATTTCTCTTGAAGGCTTTAAAGGAAATCCCTGTCTTTTACACACTATCCCTATGCAAAGAAAAGATACATGTTTTTAGATGTATATACCAACCTTTCGGTTCACACTTTCGGCTTAATATTATTGATCAAGAACAGCAGCAAAATGCTCCTTTGAGTTTTGACATTTCTAATTATAAATTTCAATTTTTAAAGAAACACTGATACAAAAACTGGAACTGGAATTAGCTTTTTTTATAGAATGTTTTTGTTTTGCTGATAAAATTAAGAAAGGTGTCCTGGTTTTTTATCACTTAATGCTTCTGAACAGCTTTGAGAGGTGTAGTGGCTTTTTTATGCTTGCTTCTTACCATTAACTGGAAGTTTAGAAGCAAATACCCTGTCTTCAAAAAAGATGATAGTTCACATTTTCTCATGGGGTCATGCACTTTCATCTGTGGTGTCCCACAGAGGGAAACAGATGTTGGCAAGTTACAATTTAAATTATCTGGAAAGCTCCCATGTGTAGAGCACAGTCCTGTTAAATTCAGGAGTAGCACAGCCCTATGGTAATTATTGAATTCTTGAGCTATGCAGTGTTATAAAAGTAAAGGATTTCAGAACCTGGGCTGAAGCAGTCATCCTCACGTGCATTTTTGCCTTCTGTGCCCCAGTTTCATAGATGTTATTATTAAAATATGTTATGAGTTTAAAAAATCCTGGTTTGATGTTCAGTGACAGTAGAATATAATCAGGGATAAAACCATGCTTGGAAGAGCCCCATGCCATTAACTGCTCCGGGTGGTAGACCTCGTTCTAGTTCTGGCATATAGGATGCATTATTTATTCTGCTGCTCAACAACATTTTCAGTGCAGTTTCTTAGGGTTTTGGTGGAGAACCAACATATCCTGGCTCCCATCAAGTTTCAGTATTAGGGCTTAGCAATTGTCTCCCATTGTCCAGTTTACGTCAAACTGCATTCTCAGTAGCACATACTGGAATCAGTATATGAAGTAAACGCATTGAATTACTTCTTTTCAGGGATGATACAATTATCACAGTTTTCCTACATTTACTTGAATGTGGAACTACCCTGAAAATATTTTATGATAACAAAAAACATCTGTAAACAATTTTATACTAAATTTTCTCCTTCTGTAATGTTTCTTCTGTGACGGGGCACATATGACCCATAATTTCTATTGTTTTTTCTAAAAATATACGTATTCTCATTGCACGACTACAATTTTTCCCTCTTATTTTTCTGTAGAATTTCTGAAGCTGATTACTGTCAGGGTAACTAATTTCAGATGTGACCCAGTTGAATGAAAAAGAAAGGAAGAATAAATGAGTCTACACCATAAAACTTTCAGCATTATAGAGACAGTTAGCTATGTATGGTATTTGTTTGAAGAAGACTGAACGTAGTGTTAGTCTGGCTGTGCTATTAAGGTTAAGACTGTATTTATCTGAAAATAAAACACTAAGCTTTGACAGAAGTATGGGAATTTATGGAAGACCTGAAAAAAATATTGCAAGACAGAGATTAAGCACCACTAAATATCAGATAATAATTAATGTTTCAGTTTGCAAAGATTCCATGCTGACATCTGCTGTTTGTCTGTCCTTCAGTCTCTATGCTCTGAGATCAGGCAGAGGCGCCGTGGGGTAGCCTCTGTGCTGCGATTATGCCAGCACCTCCTGGATGATCAGGAGACCTGCAACCTAAATGCAGACCACCAGTCCATGCAGTTGATAATCGTAAACCTTGAGAGAAGGTGGGAAGCCATTGTCATGCAAGCTGTCCACTGGCAAACCAGGCTACAGAAGCAATCAGAAAAAGACTCGGTGAGTAATGCTTTCTTTAAAAAGGTCTTGTGGGATTTTTTCATAAGAAACACTTTTTCAGCACAAAAAATACATACCCATCTCTGAGTGTTTTCTTCTGACAGAGATGCCATTCCTAGTCTTTACTGTCTACAAGTGAATCTTCAGTTTTTCACACGGTATTGTATGGACAACATTGTTTAATAATATAAACTCACATATACATACTGTATTTGCTGGATATTTAATTTCATCATATCTGATTCCACCCAGTAAAAAAACCAATCCTCTCCTTGTGCTAAGTTGCTCAGTACCCCACAGAACTTGGCCCAGAGACATACTTCACTGATTGTAAGTATATTTTAGAAAAAGAATTTCCTGTGTAACTAAGACTGGTTTTAATTAGCATCCCAGCAGTAGATGTGTATTTCACATAGATTGCCATGAGTATGTGATTAATATACAATCCTCTGTTACTTAAATATAAGTAAAATGTAGAAATTTGCTTTTATCTCAAGGAAATGATTCCTAGGAGGCAAAATAGCACTCTGCTTAAACCATCCATTAAGTGGCATGAATTAGATTGGTTTTCTACAGCATAAAACTATATTACAAAGCAGAGGGAATTAAATAATCCCTACTAAACACCATTGACTGTAACAGATGAATTGGCTCAGCGTGTCTTGTGCAGCTATCACACTGCTATAATCTGTGTACTGCAGCTACATTGACAGCAATGTGTGTAGTTCCTATGTAGTTCATATACTGAAGACTCAGTGAGATTTGGGAATAAGTGATATATTTTTTTTTTAGGTTTTTGTTAAGCAAAGCAAAGGAAAAAAATCTTGACACTTCCTTCTTAGCAACTATCTGACTAACAGTGAAATACTACTTTTGACTTCTTTTTTTTAAAGTTCCTTTACAAAAGTAACAGAAGCTATATTTCTGTGGTTCAGTTAGGGTCCTACAGTATGAAGATACATAAGGCATTGTTTAGAAACTCTTGCAGTTCCTGAGTGAAAATGTATTAATCTAAACAGCCCAAGAAAATGGTGAGTTAGTGAGAAGGATGCTGTGAATTGTTGAAGGTAATAATAGTTGCTTGCCTGCCTTTTTCAAAATTTATAACATAGAAATGCTCCTCTGCTAGTTTGTTTTACTTGCTCTTTTGCTTTAGGTATTGATCTAGAAATGGGACTCGATGAAGGAAGAGGTTTGAACAGACTGTTAGGACAAGTCAAAAGGGGCTCTGTATGAGGCAGCATGGAAAGAACTCTTCTCTGAAAAGCGGATGTAGTGTTAGTGTTGGTTTTATCAGCATGGGATTTGTCAACTGGCCATGTAAAAAATGAAGATAATTGAGACTGTGAGAAAATGTTACAGAAATTTCAGTGGAATTAAAGGAAAAAACAGAATTAGTGAGGATCCAGAAAGCAGCTTTATGTAAATTGTAGGTAGGAGTTTGAAACAATACATTACATTTAATTGAGAAGAAAGTCAAGAAATAAAAGAAGACTAATGCCGTCTCAACAGTTGCAGAGAGTCTTGATGGTAATGAGTCTGGGAGAGCAAGAAATGGGAACAGAAGTAAAAGAATTGATCAATGAAACAGGCTGGGCAAGTGAATGTGTTAGAAGATAAATATGAGGCCAAGGAATAGAAAAATTGATAAAGAAAGAAAATATAGTAGCAGAGATTTTTAATTCTCTTGAGAAATGCTGGTTATGTTTCTGTGATAGTTCCATTTTAGGAATATTTTTAGTCATATTATTAATGTGTTGCAGCAATACCTCTAATAAATTTTGTTAGTGCTACGCAAAATGTTTGATGATCTGATCAGCAGTAGAAGAACAGTTGAACTTTGGATCTTCAGAAATAAGTATGTGCAGTATTTAGGCAACAACCAAATCAAAAAACAGCTCTCAGAATCCTGATTTTTTTTTTTTTTGTTAGAGGCTGAATATTGTTGGGTCTGTAACAGCCCAACAGGGAGTGAACCACATTCCAACTGTTATCTTAAAGGTAAAGTATCACAAATCAGCAGATTTGGTTTGGTTTGGTTTTTTTTTTTAGTAAATGTTTATCTCCTGTTTGACTTGGAACAGAAAGAAGTTGCATTTTTGAGATATGTTAGAGAGTGCTGACAGAGGTCCAAGTTACTGTAATGAGCACATATTGTCCTCTTTTGCGTGTAGGCAGTGGCTGTATGGAAGCAGTTGTTCTAAATAAACTGTTAGGAGGTAATTAGACCTTGGTGCTGCTCTTGCAGCAGGAGTGGAGTCTTGTGTTTCTGTTTGGGATTGCAATCGATCAGCAGTTGAGGCATGGTGAGGATATGAGTACAGAATATTTCTTGATATCTGGAGGCTTGGAACTTCACAAGGTACCTGCTGCTTTGTTCCCACTTTGCCTGAGGTGGTCTGGAGTTATTTGCTGGGCTGAGCTGACTTTCACTGGCTGAGAGGTATATCATTTTTTCTGCTGAGAAATAGCAGCCATTTAGATGGCTGCTCATGATGCTCATCCATTTTTCACTGTGGACTGTTTTGTTTTGGAACCTCTCATCTTAGGCTGCTTTATAATAATACTTCTTTTAAGTATGTCAGTATCTACAAGTTTCTCTTGCTGATAAAACTATGCATATTCTCAACATTTAAATATGCTCCAGCCACTGCAGGATTCATGTTTCTTTGACTTTCCTTGCCTGAGTTGGCATGTTCTAGCCTTCTTTTTTACTCAGTTCCTGTGCAGTCATTTCTTGGGTAGGTACCAGAACCATTTCTTCTGCTACCGTATCTCTGTGTATTTGATCGTGTGCCAGTCTTGGCACACAAACTGTATCCCTTGGTAACAAGTCTGTCTTTGTGGTTGCCCACAAAATACTGTAATTTATGAAAACAAATGAGATGTTTTTATAGCCTGATGGCATCTGACTCATTCATGGCATCTGACTTGCTGACAGTAAATAAGATATCCCAGATAATTGTATAGCCTCAGTGCAAGACTCACTGTCATCTTCTACTGTCTTCTAATTGTCTTCTGGGATCTTCCTTTGTCCCCTTTCTGCCCCTTTTTACATTCAGTCACTTATCTGGGCCACTTAAAATGTTACAAAGGTATGCTGGTATTAACTACAGAAAACTTTTATGCTTCTTTTGAATTGTCTTCATTTAGAGTCTGCAGCAGTTTTTAGTTTTGCTCACCTTTTGCAATAGCGGGCACCATAAGTTTACAAATAACAAGTTATTAACAAGTACTTCATGCACCTACAATCAGGTAAAAGCTGATAAACAAAAAGTTCTATGTAGAATGTGACATTTTCAATAAGAATTTCTCCAGAAAGATGAAATATTATTAGATTCAGTAGGTTAATCTAGCTATATAGAATGAGGTATTCATAAAATAAAAAAAAACTCAGAAAACTGGAAGCAGTCCTAATTTGTTTCAGCAAAAGAGGTTTTATCTCCCCCATCTGTTTGTTTTCATGGGTTTTTTTTTTTTGTTTTTGTTTTGTTTTGTTTTGTTTCTTTTCTAGTAAATTCTTTTCATCCAGATTTATCATTCCATATTTTGCTGATATAGTGTTATCTATCACCTTAATTTTAACTTCAGGATTACACAGACGCCTTATAGCTTGTCTAACAAGACCCTGCTAGCAATCATCTTAAAGGAAAAAGAATAGTGCCTGGCAATTGCAATAGCAATAGCAACCATCTTCATTTAACTAAACTCAAAATTGCCATCTAAAATTCCTGCTCAACAGCTGGAGAAGCTTTAACTCACAATGCACTTTGCTTTAGGAGGTACAGTCTACTTGAAGGACTGAAAAGTTAAAAAATGTTTTTGGGACAGATTCAGTCATGGTTGTTCCCATAAATTAAGTCAAAGTGCAACTATGTAAGTTGTTTTCTGCAATTTTTTTTAGATTTTTTGCTCAGCCAGTGCTATACCCAATGCAAATTATGTGTTTAACCTCAATGGATTATTCCAGCTGCTACAGAGGATTCCAGTTTGTGTATGTCGCCCAGATCAGGTATGTCTCTGTATAGAAAGCTGCAATGAGGTGACCATGGAAATTGACTTTTTTGTGACAGGGAGAAGGAGAAAAAAAATGTGGTTTCTAATGGATTTTACTTTAGCTGCAATTCAATATTCCTGCCTTTTTGGTGAGTGGAGAAGCTGCTTTTTGTCCAGAATGCTCATTCATTAAATGAGAAACATACCTGTTTTATGGAGCAGACAATTTCTTTTCTTATTCAACGGAGAGGGCTAATTATTGAAGGGACAGTATTACTCATGCATTTAAAATGGAGATTTTGAGCTAAGGCAATTTGGGTTAAGGTGCCCTAATTCTCACATTGTCCTGAAAGTGTCTTAAATATTAATTCATCTGATCACTGAGTTCACTACTATACTTCATGAAAAAAAAAATTATTTCTCTTTTTCTGAGTCATCTTATGTGTACATTACACTGAAAGTCCAGTGGAACCTTCATCTGTATTGGCTTGAAAGTATGCTGTACATCCAGCCACATAATTGAAAATAATAAGGCCACAATAAATGGGATGGCCTTGGGGTATAACACCCAAGGGATTCAATTGGTGTCGCTTTGTATCAATGTCCATGCATCATGGTAATTGAGGTAACATAACCAATTACCACATTTTAATTAGAGTTGCAAGGACTTGGGAAAATCTGCAATGGTGAGACAGCTCACTTGAAAAAAAAAGAAAAAGAATAAAAAAGAAAGGCACTTCTTTCCACAAGCTTGTTTCTTAGGAGGTAAAGAGCCTGCTTAAATGGCTGTTCAGGATTTTTACCCAACAACCTCCTGGTCTCCTTCTTTATGATGCATTTGGGAAAAAAAATTGTTAAACTATACTATACTGCTTCTGATTTGGTATCTTTATTCTTTTACTCTATTTATCTGTTTCTGTGATGCTTTCTGGGAAAGAAAACAGTTTTTCATTATGTTAGGCAAGGTGTCTCCACTTCTCTACATTTATTTCACTGGTGCAATATTTTTTCAACCCATAGAATGACACTTGTTCTAAGCTCCAAAAACACATACTAACCCCCTTGTTTCAGGGGTGAAAAAATGACTCTGTCATTGTTCAGTTATTTGCTCGGTAGCTTCACTAAAAAAACTAGGTTTCTAAAGGTTTCTTATTTCATCACAAGCCATCATTTTGTAAGGTGAGTCCTAGCTAAAAATTTTGGATAAAATTTAGAAGTTCATCAGAAGTGCCTGGCACAGCAAAGTACTGAGAGATGATTAACTTAATTGGATGAGAAGGGCACACTACATATTGTAAAGTGCTGAATAGCCATTACATGATCTATCCATTTCAAATTATTTAATGACTTACGTTTTTGTTTTGGTGTTGGACCTCTTCCATATCGTCTATGACAGTACTGTCTTGATGTCTTGCATTTGCTCACTTTGGTGCTTCCTTAAAATATTCAATTTTTAAGTGAGTGGATATTTGATTTTAGAGTTTGTAATATGATGCACCATCCTCATACTTGAGGTGTGTATGCTTTTGAGCTTCTGGGTTGCATTGCATGTCTGATTTGTGACATGAAATAATTACCCATAGTATCTAAAATATAGTTACGCAGATGCTGAACCTAGCTCTAGATTTTTCTTGTACTTAATTGAAGATAGGTAATACATCCCACATTTTCAAGAATATTTTCCCACTAAAAGCTGATTATTGCTGAGAATGTGTTTCTCATAATTTTCTTGAGGACCAGCCATAGTTATGAGGGCAGTCATCATGGCAGTGCACAGAGTCTGGATGATCTGATAAAACAAAGCTGGGAAAACCCTTGTTGTTGAGCAGATCTTAGTAAAAAAATTCCAGACCCAGTCAACTTTAGTCAAAATTCAGATAAATATTGTGTTACATTCTTATATTCTTGAAAGAGTCTCCTGAGTGGTCACCTGCAACAGTAGGTTTTCAGAGTGAATAGAAAGAAAAAAGAAATATATTTAAGTCTTTCAAAAGAGGGCTCTACTCCATCCTCAGAGACCGCAAATCTTTCTGTCACAACTAAAAGTATAAGGTGAAACTCCAAGGGTGAAACACTCCCTGTATTTCACCAATCTGCTATATCATTCCACCGTTTCCCTCACTCTGGCAGATGTCATGTTTTGCCACAGCTTTTATAAAATGTTGGGAAGTTCAAACTCATAACCCCAGCCAAACCAGACAAATTCTCAGCAATAATCAGCTTTAGTGGGAAAAAGAGATCTTCAGAAACTGGAAATATGATGTTTCCAAAGCACACCAATGCTGAAAGAACTGTCAAACACCATTTAAACAGCAAAAATACCTCATTAAAAAAATAAAAGCTAAAATGGTTAGGTTTTAATTTTCAAGGACAAAGGTCTTCAAAAGAACTTACTTCCTATTTAGGCACTTAAGTAGGGGGTCAGATATTTAATAGTGCTCACCAGACACTGATTCTTCTTGCAATGCATTGTGTTCAAATTACAGGATGAAGTCAGTGTTTTATTTAGGTGCCTAATATCCACTAATCATAAGTTCATGATTCCGGCCAGGATTGTTTTAAAAATTACAGTTAAGGGAATTATGAAAGTCACAAACTTTTTGATTTTTTTAGTTATTTTAATGACTTGTTGCTCTGCATGTCTAATCAATCCAGTTCTGCAAGGAGCAGTATATGAGTGTAATTGAGGCTAATGTTCAGATCTCTTTTTTCCAAGAGTTTTAAAACAAAATAGTTTTTAGAAAAAGAGGAAGAAACCTTATTTTCTGATAGGTTGCACTGCAGTTTTTCCATATTAATGGGGCCTTCCATATTGGATTATAGGGCCACAATACTTATGCCACTATGGAAATATATTTGCAGGATCTTCAAGAAGTATATGCATAGTCAGTATCTCATTGTTCACTATTATAGGATATTCTAGGAGCTGCATCAGCTCTAAGTAGACAGGAATAAAATTATTCAATTTATTTTAAATACAATTATTTCATTTATTTTAAAAATAAATGAAAATAAGGTAAAAGTATTTACTATTTTTTCTTAACACACAAAGGAAAAGGTACCCAATAAAATTATCAGTCAGGAGATTAAAAACAATCAAAAGGGACTATTATTTTCATGGAGTGCATAATAAAAATGAAATTTGTTCCTACAGGATGTGGAGGATAGCAAAAATACAAACTACTTCAGTAAGTAATCAGAGAAATTAATGGAGGAGACATCAATTAATGCTTATTAAATTCCAACTCTGAAAGTTAGCCCACAGGCCGACTTCTCAAATTTGGGAGGGCAGCTTCTATATCCTTCTATGTGTTTGAGGGTTTTCTAGCTTCTCCGTAAACATTCACTACCAACCACTGCAGGAGATGGACTCAGCTGAATGGACTGTCGATCTTACCTAAAATGACTGTTGCTGTTTGAAAGCACATGACCTAGTAGATTTGGAGGCCTAGCTATGCTATGTGTACAGTGAAGAAGTTTTACAGTATGCCTAGAGAGTTTTATTGGTATTTGGAGGGGGTTTTGCTATTTCCAAAAGCTGTACCGTAGCTGTTTAGGTAGCGTGCTTTCACCAGAAGAAAAATTTCCAAAATGTACCCACTTAACAGTTTACCAAGACATTTCTAGCATAGTTTTTCTGTAAAACATACAGATATTATAATAAATACATCTACTTAATATTTAAATATGCACATACATTTATATCAGAGGTGCTATAGTAATACCATAATACACAATAAATAATAAAATGTAAATCATGAGCAATGATGATCTGAGTTTCATTTCTCCTTGTATGTAAGACATTCGTGTCATTGTTGTAGCTCTAATCCGTGTCCAGGTCTTCGTGTTTGGTGTGTGCAGTAATATGTAAATTACCTAGCCAGCTGCGTTAAGCAGTGTTTGTTTATTCTATTTCTTTTGGCATAGCATACAAGTGAATTTCTGCCAAAAATGTGGCTGCTTCAGGGAACACTGTTTGAGTTGAAGGAAGTTTTGAAAGGAAAGATATATCATGAGTTTTTACTCTGTAAAACAGTATAATCAAAAGAAACTCTGTTCATAAAAAAGACCTGTATTAATGTAAAATAATGAGCTTGTAAAATACAATGAGCAAACAGAATCTTTTTAGAGCACCCTGTTTACATCGACTTTGTAAACAAGAATACAATACTTAGAGGCAGTGACTTCTTTCATGTGTGGGAAGCATGACTAAAAGTGGTGAAATGTGAAAACGGAAAGTTCAAGAAAAATTATTTTTAAATGGCATATTAATATCCCCTAACACATAGAGTTAAGTGCATTTAAATTTAGAAACCAGTGACTTTTAAATGTTAAAAAATTGCGTTAATGATGCGAGAGCTATCTACTTACACTTGCAGTCCTTTCAGTCTTGTCTGACACTTCCTTTCTTATCCAGCCAGCTAATTTCCCCTCCTTTGTGAGGAGTAACTGTTTTCACACTAGTGCTTACCCAGCAAGCCTCCTCATTGTTTCATGGTTAATTATCTTCTTGAGCTTCACCTTCTCAAGCAAGGGAGAAAGACTGGGCCTCCCCGCAGCTCTAATGAAAGCTAAGTTTGAGAGATTCACTTTGTGAATAAATGCAGTGTCTGATCTACAACCATAATAAATGAGTTCCTAAAGTTACGGAGTTACAGCTCATTCAGCAGGTTTACTGGTTTACTGAACAATTCAGAAAGACACTTCATTCTAAAAATCTATTTTGATTTTTAGAAACGAATATTGTTTCAGTATGAAACAAAACACCATAAACTGTTCCAAAACTTCTAAGCGCTGCACAAAAAGTACATGTCAAACATACCGTTTCAGTAAAAACCTGAGCACCTGCATGAAAGACTTAGAGCTCTATGCTGCATATTAACAACACTGATAACAATAATACTAATAGCCCTGTGCCCCTCAGTTATTACTTTGTAAACTCTTAGTATTAATTGGATTTTTTGTGCCTGACCAGCACTGAAAATAGTCATTGTGGATAGACTGAAATCTTCAGTT